ATGTAACTGATGTTAAATTCGCGTCATCATTAACGTTTTTTTATAATTTCATCGAAACATCTTTTTACAAAACGAATTCAACAGTCGTGAATTCTGTTCAGTCCTTCCATACGTCCTTAAAAAATTTTAAATTTGATTAAAAAGACTGATAACTGTTAATTAAATTATAACTCACCATTATTAATTGTAATACTATTAAAGTATTTTCAATTTAATAGTTAAATGTAAATTGATAACAAATGTAACAATGTAAATTGTAACAAATGTTAAAATTGTTTAAGAAGTATGATTACTATTAACTAAATTAAAAATTATCATTTTTAATTTATAATTTAATAATTGCAATATTCAATTATTTTATGAATTTATAAATAATAAATTACAATTAATTACAAAAAGAAAGATTGATTTTTTATTTAAATCATATTCATAATGGTAGAATTTAAATACATCTAGGTATATAACTGATTTATTACTGATTAGATCAGTAATACATCTACTGATTCAATAAAACATAAATCTACTGATTTAAACAATCATATATCTACTGATTAAATCAATGTAACATCAACTGATTCAATCAATTATTAAATTTTACTGATTAAATCTATCAACATTCACTGATTCTCAGTGACTCTATTCTCACGATTTCAATCAGTGAAATTTCACTGATTCTCAGTGAAATTTCACTGATTCAGTTTTAGAGAGTACTGTATCTGATATTGAGCGAATAGTGAATAATGCAATGTCTGCTTAACGGTTCAATAACCGTTACGGTTATTGAAGGTAATTTACACGATTTATCCAATAACACATTGTAACGTGGTAATTGAATTACCCTGTTTAAACGCGATTTTCAGAGTTATCGCCGAATAACATATTGATTAAAGTTTCTTAAATTCGTAAATGATCGTGTTTCAATTGAATAACACGATATATTAGCCAAGCCCGGACTCAACTTTTATCTTATATATTTCCTACCACATTTCATTTATTATTGTAATTTTCATATGTTTATTGAAAGGAAAAATGTTATTTCATTTACGTAAAATATTCTTTCTTTTATTTTGTTAATGAAAACATCATAATAATAATTTGTAAAATACGTCGACAAGAAATAAGAACACAAATTATTATTGAGAAAAGTGATATTGTATTTCTCTATAAAAAGAGAAATCCACATAAGTAATAATGTAAATCTATCAATAGAATTGATTAGTCAGAGGAGAAAGAAGAGTCAACTGAAAAAGTCCAATCTTCACAAAGTCTCTATTATTGATTATGAATTATAATTAATAATTGTCAACGAAAAGCCGACTATAATTAGACACGGAAGTACCGAGGTTATCAACCGGTAGGGGCCTTCCGCATTGCGCAGGTCACTGGGTCAGGCGACCCTGATGTAATTGCCAGTTCGAGTTTGGCTACTCGTGAGTGACAACACGAAATCGAGAAAAACTATTTAATTTTCCAATAGATACGGTGTAACCGAGGTTAAAGGGAGAGTAATATGGATTACCGGAGAATATTAAAGAAACTCCAAGGTTAGTGTCTCATTCTTCCTTTCCGGTAATGGCACCATAAAGATAAAGGGAAAAGTCGGGAAAAGTGTTTAACCGCATGGCGGAACAAAGGACGCCGACGCATTTCTCTCTGACTAGTCTCAACGACACAGCAGTGTGGATTTCTCGAAAAATAAAAAAGAGTCAAAAATTAATAAAGTGTTCAAATTGTTATTAATTTTTACAGTGTTTTATTGGTAATAAAAGTGTATTGTTTTCCCTCTCTCTCTCCCGTGTACGAAAAATCCACGTCCCTGAGATAAAGTGCGGCATGGTAAAAATATAATTATGAGTTCGCGGTAAATAGAGCTAGTCCGGGAAGAGCTCATTGTCATTATTAATTAGCGGAGGTCCGAGTAATTAATTACTTGGCGCTGGGATAACCCTAAACGGATCACCGTTGGTTGCCGGTAAATTTATAAGAGAAAGATTTACCAGATCAAAATCGTTCCCGCCATCGTCGCCATTTTTGTAGCGTTTTTCTTTGGAATTTTCCATTGAGCATAAGTTCAATGGGAAATGATTAAAGAAATAGAAAGAGACAGAGAATAGCGTTACAACATCTACAAAATTAGATAGTTTTTCTCAAATTAATAATTGTTTATTTGAACTTGAGGACAGAATAAAACGAAAATGTAATCTAATACTGTTTGGGCTTTCTGAATCGAGTGTCACTACTTGTGACAATGATGATAAAAAAACTGACGAACTTAATACACTCAAACTTATTTCAACATTTTTCGATTCTTCCTCAATAGCTGGTACTAATATTCATAGAATTGGGAATTTTAAACAGGGCAACCAGAAGCCAAGACCAATAATGCTGGTGCTGAAAAACGAAACTTTGGCGAAGTCACTACACAAAGAATTTATAAGAGCAAAGAAGGCTGCACTGGACAACACACTACAAGGGATATCACTGCATCCAGACAAAACGAAAAACCAGTTAGAGGAATTGACATCACTGAAAAAGCAATTGGAGCATCGAATTTCCCAGGGAGAGAAAGATCTCCATTTAATTTACCAACGAGGTGTACCGGTGCTAATCAAACGCACACTGCCAGTGGTAGTAGATCGAGCGTCTATTCTCACTTCGCAAGCAGTGAATCAGCTGGTGACTCCAGACATACAGTCTCCAAATGTGTGAGTTCTCACTCCTACACGCAGCGTACTCCCTCCCAGTCTATTCCCACTACTACGCGCTGTGAACCATCTGTCTCCTCAGCTATACACTTACCTAAAACTGATGTCAATTTATATTATCAAAATGTGAGAGGTCTCAGAACGAAATTGGATGCCTTACGCCATAGTCTGTCTTCAACAATGTATGACATTTTTGTATTCACTGAAACATGGTTAAATAATGACTTCCGTAAATTCAATTGAACATTTACTGGTGAAATGTCACATAAATTCTGATATTTATATTTTTTGTGCCTTTTATATACCTCCAAATTCTGACATAAATATTTATATTACAGTTAACAAAATTTTAGAAAATGTTGCTTTGTTATATCCACATGCCGTATTATGTATCTTGGGTGATTTCAACACACCTTTTATCTGTTGGGATTATAACTCAAATCTTAATTTGGCTAATAGTTGTTTGCCGGGTTCTTCACTATCTCAAAGAAAAATTGCAGATAATATTTTTGAGTTATTAAACTATTTAAATTTGAGGCAATTAAACGCTTTTACTAATAGTTGTAATACGATCTTAGATCTTATATTTTACAATTCATACAACTATACGCTAACTTTGGCGATCGATATAATTGTTCCAATCGATGTATTACATCCTCCAATTTTGTTTACGATTAATACTGATTATGTGCACTTATCTACTGCTTCGAATTCTCGCTTATATAAGTATGACTTTAAAAATGCGAATTATGCTGGATTTATGTCTTTTTTGGTAATATTGATTGGGGTACTTGTCTAAATAACACTGATGTTAATTTTGCTTTAAATATTTTTTATGAATACGTTTATACAGCATTTGAATTTTTTGTTCCAATTAAAGTAATTTTTCATAATAAAAATCCTTCTTGGATTAGCCAAGACTTAAAGCGTATTACTTGTTTTAAAAAAATTGCGCATAGGAGGTATAAACAAAATAGTACTAAATACAATTATAATACTTTCTCAAGCTTAAGGTCAGAATGTAAAAAATTGTCAAAATTTTGCTATGATTCTTATATTGTGAACATTGAAAAGTCATTGCTAGATTGTCCAAAAATGTTTTGGAACTTTGCGAATGCTTCACGTAATGATAGTGGTATACCCAAGATAATGAAATTGTTAGATGTTGAAGTCGACAACGATAGAGATATTGCCAATTTATTTGCGGAATTTTTTAAGAATGTTTATCATGATAGTTTAAATAACAGTAACAATTCTAACTCTGATTTTTCAAATTTTAATAATTTACATTCTGTGTTAATTAAAAGATCAGACATTCGTATTAAACTTAAAGGTCTTGATGGTAATAAGGGGGCGGGACCTGATGATATCCCCCTTTCTTTCTTAAAATCTTGTCATGAGTACTTTATTGAGCCACATTATATACTATTTAATATGTCACTAAAGTCGGGAATTTTTCCCTCCGAATGGAAAAAAGGTGTTCTTGTTCCAGTTTACAAATCTGGTAATAAAAACGATATATCGAATTACAGACCAATAATAATTCTTGTTTTTTTCATTTTGGCCTAAATGGCTTTTAGTTTATTGCAAGAATTGACATAAAAATGTGACGCGTTTCGACACAGAATTCTGTGTCCTCATCAGATGCATTTCTGCAAAGATTAATTTTTTTAAAATTTTTTGCAAACGAAGATTAAAGTCGTTTTTAAAACCATAAATAAACTTGAAAATAATATACTAAAATTGCCCAAAGACTGTTTTCCCAATTTTGAAAAAATTAATTTAGTTTATAAAATAAATTGTAAAAATTGTAATTCATGTTATGTAGGTCAGACATCACAGCATCTAAAGAATAGAATATCTAGACACAAATATCAGGAGTCGATTAAAAGTAAAGAAACAGCCCTTTGTAAACATTCAACGGAATTAAAACATCAGTTTAACTTTTCATCAAATGATGTTAAAATTTTATATTCCGAAAAAAATTTACGAAAACGAAAAATTATAGAAATGTATTATATTTTAAAAGAAAATAGTTCAATTAACTTTAAAACTGATGTTGAAAAGTTAAGTTATATTTATTTACAGTTATCAGTTAATGTTTGTGAACCGACCTTTATACTTTTAGCACTTTTTATATGAACCTTGGCTTGACACCGTTCTGATTCTCAATACTAAATCTGTTTTTCATTGACCTTTCTAACCAACAAAATTGAAACACATGTCAAACATGTGTTTCAAAAAAGTTTTATTTTTAATTTTAAATTTTCCAAAAAAATTTTTTTAAATCAATATATATAAAATAAAAAATCTTTTCAATTCAACTTTCAAAATTAATTAAAGGTAAATTTTTGATAATTAGATAAAATATTTTAAGTAATAGCTGGTTCTTACAGTTTTACATTTTTACAGATGATTAAAATTATTATATGTAAATAAAATAAACAAAATTAAACAGACGTGACAATGTCGGTATGTATTCTTCGAAAGAAAAAAAGAACTTTAATCTTCGTTTGAAAAAAATTCTAAAAAAATTTATCTTTGCAGAAATGCATCTGATGAGGACACAGAATTCTGTGTCGAAACGCGTCACATTTTTATGTCAATTCTTGCAATAAACTAAAAGCCATTTAGGCCAAAATGAAAAAAACATCTTTTAATTGAAATATATTGGCTTTAACCTAAAAATTTTAATAATAATTCTTAGCTCTATATCAAAAATATTTGAAAGCTTGATTTATGATATTATTTACAGTCATGTTTCACATTCTGTAATTTTACAACAACATGGCTTTATGAAGAAACGTTTAATAATTACAAATCTAACATGTTTTACTGAATTTTTATTTGAAAACGTTGGGGATGGCAAACAAGTTGATGTAATATACACTGATTTCTCTAAGGCATTTGATAAAGTTGATCATTGTTTACTACTAGATATACTAGACACATTTGGATTCACTCGCGGGTTTATATTGTGGTTCGGTAGTTATCTTAAAGATCGTTACTTGTCTGTACGTGTAAATAACGAATACGCGTTACCATTTATAGCTAATTCTGGTGTTCCTCAGGGATCTCACCTAGGACCTCTTCTCTTTTTGTTATACATTATTAATGTAGATAAGTCAATATTGCATTACAATTTTTCATTATTTGCGGATGATCTAAAAATCTATAAAGTTTTTACGTGTAATGATGATTGTTCTGATGTACAAAATGATCTTAACAATCTCGTGAGATGGTCTGCTGATATAAGGCTTACTCTCAATGTTAAGAAATGTAGTGTAATATCTTTCTTTAGACATGAAAATCCAATTTTGTATAACTATGCTGTAGGCAGTGAACAATTGAGAAGGGTTTCCAACCTGAGTGACTTGGGGGTCACTTTTTCATCTAATCTAAGGTTTGATACTCATATTGCTAATACTGTTAACGCGGCACTTAAAGTGTTTGGCTCAATCCAAAGAAATGCGTGTCATTTTAAGAACAAAATTAGAATTTGCAATAGCAATATGGGTCCCATACCAAGAGTACCAATTGTTAAAATTAGAGCGTGTACAAAATAAATTTCTCCGTTTTGCAGCAAGATAAGTTGGTGTATATTACAACATACTCAGTCATGATTATACAGATTTAAGAAAAATACAAATGGTTCCAAAATTCTACTCCAGAATTATTTTTTTGGACCTGCTATTATTGTTCAAGATTATTAACAGATTAATCGATTGTCCATCGATATTGTCAAGCATAAATTTTATTGTTCCTTCAAAAGGTTTAAGAAATCAAAAACAGTTCAGAGTTAAATTCAATAAATCTAACTATTTAGACAACAGTATTATTAACAGAATTTGTACTAGAGGTAACGAGTACTGTCACGCGTTAGACTTCTTTGGTATATCTTTAGGCAAATTCACAAACGACCTACGAAAATTAGTTTTGTATTAGTCTATAAGTCACCTACATGATTTCGTCATTTTGTGATTACATTCATTATACCTTCTTATACCCTTATACCCTATACCCTTAAGTGCTTTTGCACTAAAGGGCATTTTTAACTTTTTATTTGTAAGTCCGTACATTGTAATTAAATAATTAAATAAATAATTAAAAATAAATACTTTAAAAATCTAATTTTTAAAGATGAAAAAATGAGAAAAAAAAGGTTTCTTTCTTAATCTTTTTCCCATTGTTTTGCAAGATTTTAGCAATGATATATGTTATTAAAAAAAGTATGGGAAAGGCTCATAAGCAATGGTTTTTGAGCTTTTTGCAATTCTTTAAAGTATGGGATAAAACTTAAAAACAATGGCGAAAATCTTCTCCCATCTTTTGCCAGCTTTTGATAGCTTTTTCTTATAGTTCGTTTTCACGCGGGTAGGATTCAAGAAAAACTAAGAAGTCTTGATATTAACAAGGGTGCAGGTCCCGATGATATTCCTCCCTTCCTTTTAAAATCATGTTCGTCTTCCTTCATTCAACCTCTCTACATTATTTTTAATTTATCTCTCAAATTGGGTATTTTTCCATCAGAATGGAAAAAGGGAATTATCGTCCCAATATACAAGTCTGGGAACAGGAATGAGATTGATAACTATCGACCAATAACGATTCTTGACTCTATTTCTAAAGTGATTGAAAGTATCATTTACGATATAATTTATAGTTATGTATCACATTCAATCATTCCTCAACAACACGGATTTGTAAAGGAAAGGTCAACCGTTACCAATCTCACGTCCTTTTCAGGATTTTTATTGAATAATATGGGGCAGGGTAGACAGGTGGATGTTGTTTATACGGACTTTTCTAAGGCCTTTGATAAAGTTGAACATTCTATATTGCTGTCGAAACTCTATTCTTTTGATTTTACTGATTTCTTTATCAAATGGTTCAGTAGTTATCTTAAAGATCGTTTTTTATCAGTCCGTGTAAATAGTGATTATTCGCTGTCTTTCTGCGCTACATCAGGGGTTCCGCAGGGATCACATTTGGGCCCACTTCTATTTCTTTTACAAATTAATGATATCGCTGATTCAATTATGCATTGTGTATACCTCTTATACGCGGATGACCTTAAAATATTTAGGATCATCACAAGTGAGAACGATTGCAAGTTGGTTCAGGCAGACATTAATAACTTATTAAAATGGTCAATTGATAATAAACTTAGTCTTAACCCTAAAAAATGTAGTGTTATATCTTTTTTTAGAAGTAATAGTTTTATCGATAATAAATATGTTATTGATAAAACTTAACTGCAAAGAGTCTTTGTCATAAATGATCTTGGAGTTAACTTTTGCTCCAACTTGGATTTTGAATTTTACATTACTGAAGTTGTAAATAAATCACTTAAAGTGCTTGGCTTCATTGTTAGAAACGCGTCTTATTTTAAGAATATAACGGTACTTAAATCAATATTCTTTGTTTTTGTTAGATCTCTTTTTGAATCTGCAGTATTGATTTGGGAATCTTATCAGGATACTAAAAATGGAGCGCGTACAAAACAGATTTATTCGCTTCGTAGCGAAGCAAGCCAACATATATTATGATTTTTTAGTCACAACTATACTAACCTAAGAAGAACCTTACTTATTCCCAAGTTTACATAAAGACTATTATATTTGGACCTTTTGTTTTTATTTATAATAATTAATGGTCTTTTAGATTGTCCATTTATTTTGACTATGCTGTTCCGTCCAAGAATTTCAGAAATTACAGTTTATTTAAGGTTAGAAGGTACAGAGCTAATTATGTTGAGAACTCTGTTTTAAATAGAATATGTTCTAGGGGAAATGAATATTGTGACCAACTCGATTTTTTTGGCGTTTCTCCAAGCAAATTTATTTGCGACCTTCGTAAATTGGTTCTGAAATATTAACTTTTTAATTTTTGATACTACCAACCAAATGAATATGATTTTGTTATAATTCTTTTTATTGTAGTGCATATGCACAAAAGGGCATTTTTTCTTTGTAAGCCTGTACACTGTTCTTAAATAAATAAATAAATAAAAAAAATTTTTTTTAATTAAAATATTTTTTTTTTTTAATAAAAAATAAATGTTTGTCACCAATATTTTTGATAAAAAAAATTTTTTTTAAATAAAATTTTTTTTTGGATAAAAAATAAATGTTTGCCAACAATATTTTAGATAAAAAAAATAAATTTTCACCAATTTATTTGAATAATTAATCAATTTCTTTGAATAATTAATCAATTTCTTTGATGAAATAATTCATTTTTTTCACAATTATTTACGTTTAAAATTAATTTTTTTCAAATGTTTTGATAAAAACAGTTAATTTTTTTACCAATAATATTTTTTTATTAAAATATTAATTATTTAAATATAATAATACATTATTTTACTAATATTTCGGTTGAACAAATAATTTTGCTTTGATAAAAAAAATATAGAAAAAATTTAAAGAAAAGAAAATAAGAGTACTGCAATCTACCTTCTAAAAAGCGCGGCTCTATTGATTTTATCGACAAATGTTGACAATCAACTGCAATATATTGAAATTAATAAAAACATAAAAAATTTATAATTATTCAACAATAATCATCTTAAAATGCATAAAACTTACTGATTTTAATATTTATTTTATCATTTTTATACATTTTAGATAAAATTTCAATTTCGATTTCGTGCTCCACGAATGCTCTGCCAATTGCGTGGAGCATTCGCGTCATACAATCCGTCAGGGGTGTTTCTCATATAATAAATGTTTAATGTGCTTCAAAAAAAATTGAGGTCGTCATCTGTAATAAATTCTGTAAGCAATAACTATTCTTATATATAAAATATATTTTCAATCATTTTTCATTCGAGTTATTCTCATCTATTTGAATTGATATAAATAGAATTTTTTATTATTTTAATTTGATTAAAAAAATATTAAATAAAATTAAAAGTTATAATGTTTAATTATTTTTTAAATAGAATATATAAAAGTTCCATGACACAATTATTTTTGACTAACATTTTAATGATTTAGCAATATAAAGTTTCCTTTAAAGTTACAAGTGTTTAAGTTTAAGTGATAAGAACCAAAATAATAACACGAAATTCATATTCTATTGAATATAATTTTCCAAAGAAATTTTCAAAACAAATGAATCTATTTATCTAAGAGTTTAAAATATTGAACAAATCTGATTATAATATGAATTTATATTTATTTTGAATATATACAGTATAATTTTCTAATATTTTTTTATAAATATTATAAATTCTAAACAAAATTTTTTTTAAAATGAGCTTGAGAAAATTGAACATTTTAAATATCTGAGAATTAAATTAAATTAAGAATAATTGAGAAATGCACGTTTTAAAATATTTAAAAAAACTTTTAAAAAAACATAAATTTATATATTTTTTAAAATATAACAATGTTTTTGCAAATATTAAATTTATATCTGAAGTGTATTATTTCTTTTAGTTGTTCATTTTTCCAAAACAACTTTGTCCCCATCTATAGTAAATGAAAATAATCAGGTGAATCAAAAACCTACAGATTCAAATTAGGTATTTTTAATTGAAGTCCAACTTATAATATTTATTTAATAATGAAAATTTGTGTTATTAATGTTTTATACTTTTCTTTTTATTAAATTTAATATTGTATATTGTGTTATACTCAGATAACTGCAGCAGCTAATTCAAAAGATTATAAGGAGGTAAATATAGCCTATTTGTATTACTTTTATATTAATTTAATAATTAATTTCAAAGTGCAATTCGGTTATTTTTTTTAGACCTTGTCAACATTTTTGAACAATAATAATGAAGAGGGAAAGGAAATATTAATTTCCTATCAACAAAATGGAAAATTATTAATTTCAAAAACTCGTAAAGCTTTGGTTGATTTGATTATTCGCAGAGAAAAAAATGAGGTTTTAAAAAACTTGAAACGTGGAGAAAAATTGGAGTCCTGGAGCATTTCAAAATCGCGGTTTACAGAATTATCTTTAGAAATTAAAACGCTATTTGATGGAGAATCAGCTTCCACATATTATGTTCCATTTTCTTGTGAACAAGGAAATCATTTAGATGCTGGAGGGAATTTGTATGCTCATCATTATGCACAAAGTTTGATGCGAGTGTCAGGTATTCTTATTGGAAGTAAAAAAAAAAGAAACCGCAATTCAATCACAAAATATTGTTTTAGGTTAGTATTGATAAGCTAAATCATACTAATATTAAATTTATATACTATCAAATTATGCAAGTAAGATATATTTATTATATTTACAGATTAAATTGGATTTTAACAAAGGCAACGAAAATACTTCGTCAAAGCTTTTTCAAAAGTGGCAAAAAATTAGAGGATACTTGATTAATAAATTACAAACAGTAAAATCAACAACTATTGAAGATGCAGCACTTTTAAGAGTCATCACAGGATTATCGTGTGGTATATAATGTCATTAAAACTGAGGGATCCACTTAACGCAAGAGACAATTATGTTACATCCACATGACAGAACTATTTTAATTCGTAATACTTTGTACTAACAAATTAGTTATAAAAAATTTAAATCTCAAATAATTGTAGTACGACTTTTTCACTTTTTTAGAGAAACAAGATGTTATTATTTACCATTTATTGCATTACATTACAACGTCAGACAAGAGGAAAAGTAATGACTATCAATCACTGAATGTTTTAGAATTTCGAAGATTAAGTGTTTTTGAAAAAAGAAGTGGCTATCTTCTGCATGTTGAAGTAAGCAGTTAATTTAAAGATTCAAATAATTTTGATAGAATAATTTTTTAGAATACAACGGAACTAGAGACTAAATTGACTGAACTCAGGAATTCATTGAAGTCTAGAAATTTAAAACTTCAACCTCTAATTGCAATAGTTTCTGGAGAAAGGCTTTCTACACACAGTCGCGTTTTACAAGGAGAAAAAAAATTTTAAATTCTGTTTAGATCTCGAAAAAACACAATCAAATTTATGTAAAAAATTTAGATAATTTTTAATTTTACTAGTTATAAACGGGAAAAAATAATTTATTTAAATCTTTGCTGGATTAAAACCAAATATTGTTTTTGTTAAAAATTTTTGTTTATACGCTGTTAAATTTTAAACAAAAAAGTCAGCCAAAATGAAATGTTTCGCTTGTGATTTAGAATATTAAAGCAATGAATCGCTTTTAAAACATATCGAACTAGTTTATAGTTCAGTCAAATCATTTAAATGTTCAGAAGCAATTTGTAACAGAAATTTCAAGTTATTAAAATAATATAATAAACACAGAAAAACTAATCATGCTCCAAAGAATGCTTATGAAATAGTTTCTACTATAATACAAGAAGAATTGCAAATAAATTCAGAAAAATCAATTGATAATGAGACATCGTCAGCATCATCAGTAGATAAAATTTTAATGGAAATTAATAACTCTAATGAAGATGATGGCATTTCCGATTCTAAGGACGACTTGGATTTCTATCTGAAACAACCCAGTTAAAAAAAAACCATTATTCTACTCAAATGTAAGTAAGGAGCAATTACTTTTTGTTGCAAAATTACATAAGTGTCCAGATCTTACGAGAAAAAGAGTTAATGAAATTATACAAAATACGTCTGATTTAATGCAATCATCAGTAAATGTTATAAAAAATGAAATTCACAATATGTTAGCTACTTTTCCGAATAGCTCGGATGCTTTATCGAACATTGACAACATTGTAGATAAATTTTCAAATCCTTCTCAAAATTTAAAACCGAAGCACAACGTTTTGCTCAATTCAAAAATTCAGACACTTTTATAATGCCGGAAAGTTTTATTTTAAAGGAAAAAGAACAAATTAAAGAGAAAAATGGTGTAAAAATTATAAAATATGTACCTATTGTAGCTAAATTTACCCCGCTGTCTAAAGTTTTTAAAAAACTTTTGGAGTTACCTTTTGTTTGTGACAAAATTATGGAATATCGAGGAACACTTCTAAAAAACGAAGAAACTATGACAAATAACATACAAGGGCCGTATTGGAAAAAAAGGATTGCTAACTATGGGGATAAAATTGTTATTCTTTTTGATCTGTTTTTTAATGACTATGAGACGAATAACTCCTTAGGTAGTCACAAAGATAAAGGAAATTGTGGTGCTTTTTATGGTCTCTTATCTATCCTACGCCCAGAATATCAATCAAAACTCGAAAATATTTTCCTGTTCATGTTATTTAATACACGTAATCGTTCATTATTTATAAACAAAATAGTTTTTTCTAAGGCCGTCGATGAAATTAATTTGATGCAAACAAAAGGAATAACAATTACTCATCCCATACCAATTTTTCTTGTATTAGCACTCATAAGAGGAGATAATTTAGGTATTCAAACCTTATTCGGACTTAATGAATGTTTTCGCTCAACTTTTTTTGTAGATTTTGTCTTACAAAATTTGAGGATATCAATTCTACCTTTAAGGCAATAGATCATTGATTAGAAATGTGTGCCTCATCATTGGTCATTCAATGCCCCTAGAAACTGACTGTTATAATTTGCTAAAAATGCTAAAAAGTATTGTTGAAATTGTTGTGAGTCCAATTATTCATGTTCAAACTCCAATGCTTTTAAATACTCTAATTACAGAGTATTTGAGTTTGCATAACGAATTATTTCCAGGGAAATTAAGACCGAAGCACCATTTTTTACAACATTATTGTGAAGTAATGATTAACATAGGTCCACTTTGTAAAGTTAATTGTATGCGTCTAGACGAAACACATCATGTGGGTAAAGTAACATCGCATGTTGCTATTAGTATAGTCAATGTTTGTCGCACCATCGCTTTAAAGGCGGTTCCAGAATAGGTGCAAAAGCCAAGTACAAGTGCAAGTCCAAATGCAAATCCCATGAGTGCAAGAGAGAAAGGTAGTCTATTTATCTCTCTTGCATTCATGGGATTTGCATTTTGACTTGCACTTGTACTTGTCTGTTGCACCTATTCTGGAACCGCCTTCAAGCATCAATTAATGCTCAATTATCGTCTACTGTGTGACGAATCATTTCCAAGAATATTAAAAATGTCAAAAATGTAATTTCGGAAATGTTACCAAATATTAATGAATTTTATCATTTAATATGGACTCCATCTTCGAATACTTTGGGTGTTACTGAGTCGGTAAACTTATATGATAAAAAAATAACTAGAGATAATGTTATTGTACTATTTAAAGAGGAAGGTCCGAAATTCTTTGAAATTTATATTTTTATTGTAAATGAAAACAATAACTTTCAAGTTGTTACTCAGCGTTTAAATGAATGTTTTTTATTGATCATTTTCAAGCTTTTAAAATATATCATAAAAGCAATTTTTCTTGGCATGTATTATCATCTTCAGAAATGATAAATAGTAAAATTACTACACTTCACAAATTGCGCGACGGACATTAATATTTTCAAAAAAATTGGATGTGATTTTTCACATTATTGTATTATTATAAAATAATAAAAAAAAAAAAAAATATGATGGCAAATTAAACTTTTTTATTTATTCCTTATTAAAAAATGGGATTTCATAATAAGTATTTTCATTTAATATTAAATATTTTATATATTTTATTATTATTAGTTGATTATTGTTTATTTGAAAATTTAAAATAATTTATTTTAAAACTTTCCTTTTATGATTGTCTTCATCACATCAAAAAATCTGTTATTCTATAAATTTCAATATAATTTGTAGTCTATTTAGTTATTTATTACAATATAAAATAAATTACTATTTCTTCTGCTAAATAATTTTTAACTTTATTTTTATTCTGTTTTTTTAAATAAATATTTTTGTTATAGTTTTTTTATTTTAAATTAAAAACTTGAATGAAATTTTTAATTTCTAAACCATAATTAATTGACCTAAATATATTTTATTCCATTAAGAGTCAATAATAAAATTATAAAAGTAAAATAAATTATTTATTCACTTCACAAGCGTTTCTCACAAGTTGTGAATTTTTCTGCTACTTGATATATAAGGACTTGATATATAAGATACCCGTGTCTGGCCGTTTTGCTAGTTCAGGTCATTTTTTGCTTTTAGGGGTAAAAACAACCCTTAAATGAAAGGTGATAGGAAATCTTGTACAAATTAATAATTTTTTATGAAACCTTGTATCTCGGGGTTTTCCGGGTCGCTGATTACGAATCTGATGTTATATTTTCAAAATTCAAAATGGCGGATCCAATATGGCGATCGAAATTTATAAAAATTCACCAATTTATTTGAAAGTTGTTACTTAGGGGTTTTGGGGTCGCTGATAACGAATATGATGTCAGATTTTGAAAATGCAAAATGGCGGATCGAATATGGCGGTCGAAATTTATAAATATTTATTATTTTTTGTAAAACTTGGTATCTAGGGGTTTTTGGGGTCGCTGAGTACGAATCTGAAGTCAGATTTTTAAAATTCAAAATGGCAGATTCAATATGGCGGTCGAAATTTATAAAAGTTCATCGAATTCACTTGAAACTTGTTACTTAAAGGTTTTTGGGGTCGCTGATAACGAATTCGATGTCGTATTTTCAAAATTCAAAATGGCGGATCGAATATGGTAGTCGAAATTTTTAAATGTTATTAGTTTTTTATAAAACTTCGTATCTCTGGCTTTTTGGGGTCGCTGAGTACGAATCTGATTGTAGATTTTTAAAATTCAATATGGCACACTCAATATAACGGTTGAAATTTATAAAAATTGTTAATTTTTTATAAAACTTCGTATCTAAGTCCTTTCGGCGTCTCTGAGTACGAAAATGATGTCAGATAAGAATAATAAAAACGCCAAATCTAATAAAGGTGACGATCACAAATCTGAAAAATAATTTGGAAAATTTAAATGTTCGATTAATTTTTTGTTAAAATTTGCAAGCCAACATTTTAAAATTTTTATTTTAAGTGATTTTTAATAAATTAAGTTTCTATTAGAATTAATAAATTAAAAAGGTTATAATCAAAATTTATTAAACAAATATAATGCACTAAAATAAAATTAATAGAAGCATTTCATAACAACTCTTGTATTACGTTTGTGTAAATTTTAGACTCTTATTTTTACGATTTAAAGATTCGACCACCATATTGGATTCGTCATTTTGAATTTTGAAAATCTGACATCATATTCGTAATCAGCGACCCCAAAAACCCCTAAGAAACAACTTTCAAATGAATTGGTGAATTTTTCTAAATTTCGACCGCCATATTGGATCCGCCATTTTGAATATCTGACATCAGATTCGTAATCAGCGACCCGGAAAATCCCGAGATACCAGGTGTCATAAAAAATTATTTATTTGTACAAGATTTCCTATCACCTTTCATTTAAGGGTTGTTTTTACCCCTAAAAGCAAAAAATGACCTGATCTAGCAAAACGGCCAGACACGGGTATCTTTTTTTTGGTCCTAGTTTCTGAAAATCATTGATTTTTTCGTGTGTGAAAAAAAAAGTTGAATTTTGTCGGACGGTGTAATAGTTATGTCATATTTTGTAAGTGATACATATATGTTAAAAAAATTAGTGGAATTCCATTTAAAAAGTTAGTTCTTAAGGGGGGGGTATAGTTAATTCGGTGAAAATAATGCATACTTTTAAGAATTTTTTTTGGCGATACAAAGAAAGTTAATATATTTATTAAATTTTTATATAATAGTACAACATTTGAACAGTATTTCACCAAATTTTCATTGCAAAATATTGCGAATTGAGCGAGTAAGAGCAAATCTCCTCAGGCGCTTGCAAAAAAAGTTATTTTACGGTGTACACTCTAACTCGCAACAGAATCATCTAAAACAAAAAAACCAAGATGCATTAGTCAAAGGAGATGTTTCTCGAGGTAACGCTCGGAGGATTTTTTTTTTTTTCATTTTTCGATTTTTCGTAACACATAAAGGCCAAAAAACCGATTTTTTCTATAAAAAATCGACGAATTTGTTATTGTAAAATGAGTAATTTTTTAAAAAACAAAAAAAGCTCCCAGGGTTACCTCGAGAAACATCTCCTTTGACTAATGCATCTTGGTTTTTTTGTTTTGGATGATTCTGTTGCGAGTTAGAGTGTACACCG